TGCCAAGATTTGTCCTCTTACTTTGGTAATTCAGACCCTCTTACCTAACTGGCTTTAAAAAAAATACTTCAGCTGATTTCTTTTGTTAACATACCACCCTTCAAAATTAGAATGAAAAGTTTAATGGCCTAAATACAGTGCAGTCCTATTTGAAAAGCCTGATTTATCTTCTGTGGTTCCTTTTTTTTATACCGGTATTTCCTTGTTATGCCCTTGGTATTTCATAGCTGTCCTTTTTAAGCACTGAAGCAATTAGTTTTGAGAAGGCTGATTCTTCAGGGTCCAGTGCTTTCCTGCCTTTCATTCGCCGAAGCTGCACATTTTAATGAAGTTGTTTCATCTGTGTTGCCAAACACTAGAATTTTGCTGCTTCAATTCTAATTATCTCTGCTGGCAAATGCTATGTTTTATTAAAGCTGTCAAGTGCACTGTTCATTAAATGTCCACAGTCTGTGGTGCTGTGCACACAAATTAGATCAGCTTTGCTCCTTGATAGATTATGAAGAAGTTAAATATTTTTATATAAACCACTAAAATCGAGTCTAAGAGCCATCAGTGATGACTTAGATGAGTAAAACACACCTGTAGCTTCTTGAAACCTAGCATCTTGTCACAAACCACCTATAGTACGTACATTAAAACTCTATTAGTACAGCTGAGTATACCGCTTGTAAGATTAGGGAGAATGAAAAAAAGAAAGACCCAGGGAACTACAGGCCAGTCAGTCTCACCTCAGTGCCCGGTAAGATCATGGAGCAGATCCTCCTGGAAACTATGCTAAGGCACATGGAAAATAAGGAGGTGATGGGTGACAGTCAACTTGACTTCACTAGGGGCAAATTGTGACTGACAAATTTGGTAGCCTTCTGTGATGAGGTTACAGCATTGGTGGATAAGAGAAGAGCAACTGACATCATCTACCTGGACTTGTGCAAAGCATTTGACACTGTCCCACATGACATCCTTGTCTAAATCGGAAACACATGGATTTCATCAAATGAAATGGACCACTCCAATGGATGGAGCACTCAGTGGATAAGGAATTGACTGGATGGTTGCGCTCAGAGAGTTGTGGTCAATGACTCGATGTCCAAGTGGAGGCCAGTGATGAGTGGTGTTCCTCAGGGGCCGGTATTGGGACCGGTGCTGTTTAATATCTTTGCCGGTGACATGGACAGTGGGTGGGGTTGAGTGCACCCTCAGCAAGTTTGCCGGCAACACCAAGCTGTGTGGTGTGATTGACACACTGGAGGGAAGAGATGTCATTTAGAGGGGCCTTGACAGGCTATAGAGGTGGGCCTCTATGAACCTCATGAAGTTCAGCAAGGCCAAGTGCAAGGTCCTGCCCATAGATCAGGGCAATCTCAAGGAAAATACAGGCTGGGCAGAGAATGAATTGAGAGCAGCCCTGAGGAGAAGGACTTGGGGGTGTTGGTTGATGAAAAGCTCAACGTGAGCCGACCGTGTGAGCTTGCAGCCCAGAAAGGCGACCATATCCTGTGCTGCATCCAAAGAAGTTTGGCCAGCAGGTTGAGGGAGGTGATTCTGCCCCTTTTCTCTGCTCTTGTGAGACCCCACCTGGAGTACTGTGTTCAGCTCTGAGATCCCCAACATAAGAAAGACATGGCGCTGTTGGAGTGGGTCCAGAGGAGGGCCACGAAGATGATCCGAGGGCTGGAGCACCTCTCCTATGAAAACAGACTGAGAGAGTTGGGGCTGTTCAGCCTGGAGAAGAGAAAGCTCTGGGAGACCTTCTAGCTGCTACCTTCCAGTACTTCAAGGGGGTCTACAAGAAAGCTGGAGAAAGACTTCTGGCAAGGGCATGTAGTTGATAGGACAAGGAGTAATGGCTTTAAACTGAATGAGGGTAGATTTCGATTAGATTTAAGGAAGAAATTTTTTACATTGAGGGTGGTGAAGCACTGGAACAGGTTGCCCCGAGAAGTTGTGGCTGCACCATCCTTGAAGGTATTTAAGGCCAGGTTGGATGAGGCTTTGAGTAACCTGATGTAGTGGAAGGTGTTCCTGCCCATGGCACGACGGTTGGAACTAAATGATCTTTAAGGTCCCTTCCAACCCAAACCATTCTATGATTATCTTATTCATTAAGAGACCATTTTCCTTCCTGAAGATATCTACATTGCCTCTTGAACTCTAGCTTTTATGTGTTTAGGATAAGATAAGTTTTGTTACATATGCTTTGATATAAGTAAAAGCATCAGTGCTAGTCTTTCAGTAGGGGGTTGTATAGTATAATTGGTCCTCCATTTAAAGCAAAGATGGCTTCATTTTAATGTTACTAACCTGGTGAATACAAAAGATTGCTATCGTAAGCAACTACCAGGTTCTCTTGTAATTGCATATCTCAAAAGGGAATTTTACTAGAAGATGTTTAATTCAAATATATGGGGCAGTAATAGAAATATTATACTTGCAAAGAAAATATTTGAGTCAGCTCTCATGTTGGCACTTTTCGAATTCTTTTGCTTTTATTAATTTTAGATTTTCAGTCTATCATTATCTTCAATAACACAAATAGTCATTCTTACTTTTTAATGGATTGTTTTCTCAATGTTCTCTATGAGCATAAATAAGATATTGTAATGATAGACTACCAGATAAGCACGTTGTTGATCTTTTGAAAAAATGTTTTTCTTACCCTTCAGCTATCTGTAGGAAATAACTTTAAATTTATTTTTAGTACCATTGCTTTATGGTATTTCTTTTCTGTATTGGTTACCTTATCTTTTGAAGAATGTAGTGTTTATACTTTCCAACATTACTTTTAAGTTTATCAGGCTGTATTTTAAACTTTCAGAGGAACAGATATTTATTGTACTCTTCATAGAAATCATAAATGACATCTCAAAGAGCTATGTAAAATAAACAGAACTTCCGGGCTCTTGGATATCTATTTTTTTTAGGCTTTGGTAGGAAACTATTGCCCTTCAAAATGCTGCGAGTCACTCTTTCTTGTCTCTTCTCCTTATGATCCAGTTTAAAGTGCTGTAGTACATATAGAAAATTCATACAGCCTGAAGTTGAATAGGCGGCTATGTATGTTTATATATTTCTTTATCTGTTAATGTATTATGCCTTATCATGTATATTTCATGGTATTTACAGGAAATAATAGCATTTTAGCAGTTTTTGAGTGTAGAAACAGAAATTAATGCTCTCAAAGCAACCATCTGAGCCTCTGCCTGTCAAAACCTTTCCTTCAGTAGTTAAATGTTTAAAGGAAAACATTTGCTCTTCACATGGCATGGCCTTTTATGCCACTGTAACAGAAGACTTTCCAAAGTGGCATTGGAGATGTTTCACAGTATCCTGAATTTTATCAGACTAGTAGAGAACTAAAAATCAAAAGTGTCTCACTTGAGAATTTATTGCAACTGGTTATACGATGTTTCCAGGCAAATATTCAAGTAGTGTCTTACCCTAAATGCGGTGCTGATGACTTAGTCCTGGCCCAACCAAAAAGTGGCATATAAACTAGAGATGTCATTTTGAATGCTATTCATAGGTTGAAGTGAATTCTTAAAAGGGTAGTAAAATACATTCTTTGTTATTGCTACTGGGTATCAGTCAAGCAGCCTAATTCTGCACCAGCTGTGGTATTCAGATGATCAATAAGATTATCCCAAAGAAAGATAGATTGTTCCTGTTGTTTTCAAGCATGCATCTGAGACAGAAGGTCATAAATACCTGAACAAAGAGATGTAGAAAATAAGCTGTTCTTGGCCACCAGTGCTTGTCTCCTAAAGGAAATTTCAGTGAGAGTTTTCCTTTGAAAAGAAAAACTTCAGAGGGCTGAAAAACATTCAAGGGCTGAAGTACTTTTTGTCATCTGAAATAATTAACCCAACTTCAGACCAATAATCTTTCGTCTTGTTCAACTTAAATTTTATCTTCATTCAAAGGCCTACTGTCGGACAGGAGGTGGATGAGAATAGATGGCATATTCTGTGACAGTGGAGTAGTTGAGTGATATTAGTGTATTGAGAGATTTGATGGGAAAGGGAAGCACGGAAGTCACCTAGGTGCATGTGGGAAGTCTACAACATGTGAAATATGACAATTTTTCCTTACTGTTGTTATTTTGTATATTTTCTATGTATGTTTATATTTGACTTTAAGTCTGAATAATTGGACAAAATATTTCCTGAACCTTCTAGGGAGATTTGAAACGTATTCAGGCTTATATTTAATATCTAGTCTCAGATTTGGAAAAACTTCTCATGTTTTGGCTTCTTGGAAGTTACCTGAGATATTACTGTCACTAGCGTGAATAAGTAAATATTTTGATTGCACTGCCTTATCCACTCTTTTCAGGTGGAGTGTGCAAGTGTGTTAACTACAACAGAGGAAAATAAATTTCTTTATAAACCCTGACGCCTTCCTCTTATCAGTATAGTCTCAGAAAATTGTGAAAAATCACTGAAGCAATTGTCAAGCATAAAAAAGACATGGTAAAGAGTGATGCAATTCGATTCAGAAATGGGTCTTTAATGTGCATGGGAAGTTAATTTTATGCTTACGAAAGTATACAAACAAAAACAACAAATAGATTTTATGTCTTACTGTGGGTTATCAAGCTGAAAGTGAAAAGAGTAAAATAAATACCATTAATAAAAGCAATACCACACAAAGGGAAATGTTCATGGTTCTGAATATTTAGAGATTAGGTTGATAAAGCTCTATGCTGTTTCTAAAAGTCCTTAGCCCTAACTAGGAACTCCTTCAGTTCAAAATAACATGGGAGAAGTTCTGGTCCAAGATTTTAGATTTGGCTCCCTGAAATTGATATTCTCTACTAAGATATTTGTTTTACTTTTTTAAAGTACTAGTTTTGTAGTACTTTAAATGTTGAACTTTAAGGAATAGAGAGAGTATTGCTTTTGTATTACTACATTTTTGGAAGGGAATAGTCATCTTCTAACCTTGGAAAAGGAAAATGAGATTATTTTTATTTTGAATTTTTTCTGTTGTTTTTACAGGAACACCAAGACACTGTGCTTGGGAATACAATGCACACCGTGATCGCCTTACTGAATAACATGGTTGCTAACAAAAGCACAAACATGAGGTTACTCTTTGAAGAAGGTACGTTGTCTTTATCTTTAGTTATTCTCCTTACTATAGATGTTTCCCAGTCTATTATAATACCTGGCACTGTGTGAAACTGTAGACTTGTATGTATTTATGTTCTATAGTGGTTGTTAGATAATCACGTTGTAACTGACTGGTATTCCTCGTCATTTCATCTGCCTCCCTTACTCGTTTGGTTATAAATTTAACTTTTGGAAAGCTGTTCCTCAAAAAAAATGTACTTACAGAAGAATTACTGACTGAAAGTTATGTTATGTCTGTGAAGAATGGCTTTGAAAAGGAGTGGGCTAGAGCTCTGCCCACAGCAGTGCAGAGCACAGGCAGAGAGAGCCTCTGCAAGTTCTTCCTTTTCTCCCTGCTCAAACCTGTGAAATGGTAAGTTGTACAGTATTTCTGCACTTTTAAAAAAGCTAGCTTCTGTTCCAGTCCAGCGATAAAGACTAATGGAGTGGAGCCCAAAATGACTGAGTGTTAGTGTACAAAGCATCCATGTCTTCATTTCACTATATTTTATTATTGAAGCTACTTTTATTTAGAAATTGATTCTGGTTTACAAAATGAAGAGAAAGTTTCTGCTGTTGGAAATCTATATAAATTTTAAAAACTTGTTTAGAAATATACACATTGATAGCATTATTTTTGTTTATCCTTAATCAGTGTGTGACATTCAGCAATATAGATCTACACTATTATTAATACTATTTGTATAGAATAAATCAAAGACATAGACTACTGGTATAGCAGTATATAGCATGCTCCAGAAGGAAAACGAAGACATTTGCATAGAGAGACAGTGAAGAGACAGCTAAGGCTCTTGTGAAGTCAAGAGTTGAGAGGAAAAATTTTCAAAGTCTCTAGGAAAAGATTGGGTGGGGTGTCAGGTGAAACTTCGTCAGAGTATAGCGTTTTTATAGTAATCACATTAGAGGAAGAACCAGATGAGACATACTATGATTAATGATTGAAGTATAAACACTGATGATGATGATGAGCAAATTTGAAGAATTGGATCTTCCTTAGATACGCATTGGAAAAAAAAAAAAATCAGAACACATACCAGCCTAAAACTCCATCAAGATTTGCGGTAGTGGTCGTGCTCTCATTTTCATAATTACCTTAGCAGTTAAAGCACTCACCCAGAAAGTAGGAGACCTGAATTCGTGGTCCTTTGACTCTGAAGGGATTGAATAGACAATGGCATCATTCAGGAGACACACTGGAACTTGGCATTGTAGATAATAACATGCTTCTCTCCTCTGTTTGAAACAGATCCACTCTGAAGTTAGTGGTATGAGAACAAGGCTGGAAGAAAACAAAGAAAAGGAAAATATGGCTGAATTGGACAGAGGTGGTTTATAGGAATCTGTTTGGTTATTTCTCATCAAACTGTCTATCATGCTTGGAATTGCTTTGGGCTTTCTTGAGGTTTGGATTTAAGTGCTGCTTTTATTATCTTTGGGCACATCCACTGTGCTGGGCAAAATCCTAAGCTAGCACTGAGCTGCAGCAGGGTAACTTGTTAAATCTGCACAATGACATGCAAAGAAGTTAACTCAAGTCCCACAAGCACTGTAACCACATAACTGGCATGCCTTACTTGAAGTAATATGCTTTGCCTTTCTGCATGGCAAATAAGGTGCAAAACTATTTAACAACATGGCAAAACTGCATCCATTCCCTAAATATCTCCCCTTTATTGTCTCACAGAGCAAGCTCCTGTGTACTTTTTATGCTGCTGGTAGTATATCAGTGCTCCCCTTCTCATCTGCTCCAAAAATAAAACGCATCTCTGCATCTCTTCCATCATGCTAGTTTCCAAATTAAGGAAGTGGGATAGAAACATTATTGAAGTCTTTTATCTTTTTATTGTGCTATGTCATAAATTACACCAGTAATATTTTCAGACTGTTAGTGACTGGGTAACACTAACTTGGGCTCAATGAACTTCAACATACTGACTAGGAAAAAAAGCACAGCAGACAAAAATAATTTATCTCAAGTAAAATGTCCCTATCATGTCTCATTCCTTTTCCCCATTGGCTAATCTTCAGAGTACTGGAAACCTGGATTCTGGCCAGTGCTTTATTGTTTAAGGGCCTAATTGTCAGATAAAGAACTTCTTAAATTTGGTTTGCAGGAATGTTATGAAGTTATTGATCTTGTAATTGTAGACTTTAAGATTTTCTTTGATCGAAAAAGGGAGAAAAGTTATTCCATACAAACTGGAAGGCTTTTTATCCTTTTCATTACCAACTGTAAATATGTAGTGTTCTTTACAAGAAAATACCTTAAACTTCCACTGCTGGTGTGTTTGATGTTCATCTTTGACATTTTTTAATGGCTTTTGTGTGACAGAGAAGGACATGATCTAGTAAAATGGACACTCCTCCTTGCAGAAAAGGATCCTTGAGTCCAAATGGAAAAGCTCAACATGAGTCAGCAGTGTGCCCTCGCAGCAATGAAAGCAAATCAGGGCTGCCATAAGAAAGAATAAATGGAAGATTGAGGAAAGTGATTTTTCTCCTCTATTCAGAACTTGTGAGATTGCATCTGGAATTCTGTGTCCAGTTTTGGGCTCCAAGCTGCAAGACACATTGATTGACAGACAGGAGCAAGTCCAAAGAAGGGCAACCACAATGTTTAGGAGGATAGGCCATATAGTGTGTATTTCCAGCCTTCACCTGTATTATTGCATGAAGTTATTACTTCCCAAGTGCAGAACTTGGTATTCGCCTTTGTTAAACTTCAACAGGTTTCTGGCAGCCCGTTTCTTGACCTCTTTTTGAATGTCAGCTCAACCCTTCATCACGTCAACCACTTGCCTCAATTCAATGTCATCTTCAAACTTGCTGAAGCTGTATGCTATTTCGTCCCAGTAACACTCTATGTCCAGCTGTTAATGAAGGCATTCAATATTCATGAGCTATTCTGCTGTCTTAAAAAATGCTGAAGCCAGAGTATTACAGGCCATCAATTTCCCTTATTTCCCCATTACAGTGTGATAATTAATTCATGTATATATGGAACTTTAGAAATTAAAAGCCTTAAATACTTGCTACTTATTGTAAGGATCTCAGGTTAGGGGGACAGTCCTGTCAAGTTTTTTGGTTTCCAAGAGACCAGATGTTAGCAATGAGGATTTCTTTCCGATTCTGTATATGCCTTTCTTCAGCTGCCAAGAAGCAGTATTTTTGCAGACAGATCATTTGGAAATTCTCGTTGCTGTTTCCTCTGTGCCTGTTAGCCTTCAGAACTCTTTCCTGCTCAAAGGAGTTGTATTAGGTGATAGATGTTTATTTTTTTTTCAGATGGGTTGCAGCTTACATGTTGAACTTTCCCCTTTCTCAAGGAAATCTTGCTTGATGACACTTGCCTCATTACTGCTTCCGTGATTTCATATTAATTACCATGATAAGGTGGTGCATTTCAGCAACTTGGGTACAGGGTAGACTGCCTACCATTAATTTCTCTCTCCTCTGAACTGTGTCCTTTTGTGTGACAATACATCAAACGTAATGATAACCACTTGTAATATTTAAAGGTGAAATGGAGAATAACGTATGCAACTAGAGTCACAGAGGGAATTTAAAATGGGCTTTGCTGTGTTATCAGCTATTAAACATTTATTCTGTTAACATTAATGACAGTTTCCACCTAATAATCAGAGGGGAATAATATGATTCAGTTTAATTATAGAGAATGGAATTCAGTAAGGAGTCTGGGATTACTGTAAGGTCTCTTGAGAAAAGTTATGGTGAGATGCAAAAAAGTTAAAACAATAATGGTCATTTTTAGCGTGGTCTTCTAAGAATGTGAAATGTACTCTCTTGGCTTCTGTCTGTCAGTCTCTTCCCTTCCTCCCTTTCCTCATCTTTTGAAATCATTGGACAACTTTAAATTAACTTTAGAGGGCATAGAGGTCCAAATATACAAAGTAGATATTGGTTCTATAATAATCAATAGCTGAGGAAAGGAGGAGATCTAAGTTAGTACTGTAGCTTAGAAGCTTAGACAATAGTATGGTCTCATCAGTTATCTGTTCCCGGCTAATGTACAGCAAATGGAGCAGTGTAATACATGACATGCATGAAACAAACAAAAATGTATGGACTGTACAGAAAGAAAGGAATTTTAATACTTAAAATTTCCAAGTTAATTTTTTTTTAAAACCATACATTTTGCAACCTATTGTCTTGGACCATCCTTATGGAAGCCAGGTTGTAAAAATCCAAAAGGTGTCATTTCACCTTCAGGTAGGAAATAAGGAATGTAAGTGTGAGAGGAGCATCATTTTAGAACTGTTTTCCTTTTTTTATCATAAAGATAAGACACGATCAAAGCGGAGCTAACTGGTCTGAGTTTATATACTTGGTTAGAATAGTTCTTACTGATGGAAGTGAAACCTTCTCCTCTGTGATTCTATTTCCCTTAACATTTATTAAACTAATTTATAAAGCATAAAACTTATACTCTTGTATAGTATCTTGAGCTCTACTAACAGACTTGTAAAAAATCTATTAGTATTGCTGTATTTCCCCTGGCCATTTTGTATTCACTTCACATTTGCTTTGAAGGGTATCTGCAATCTTTTGGTTTAGGTTTGTAACCACTAAGTTCAACAGTATGTGTTAATGACTGAGGAGAGTACTTATGTCATGATCCCACAGGATCAGTCAGTGTATGGGAGAAACTCCCATTATAGCACATGCTTATAGTTGGATAACGTAGAATGGAGCAGTGCTAAGGTTTTAGAAATAGGGAAAGGGAGTCATCAGTGACAAAGATGGAAAGTTATTACCATGGAGAGAGGCAGGGATATAGATGCATATCTGTAGGAAATGGGGTATTTAGTTCTACTAGCCGTGAAACAGTCAGCTGTATATTATTTAGCACTTGTCATACTGAAAGGGTTAACATTTGCTGACTATAAAATGAACATCCAATTCTAGATGCTACAATCGTCAGCTTTAAGCAGGTGTTATAGGAGTACAGTA